AGCACTTTAGCTAGTAATTGTGTTTGTTGTTCAAAGCTCATGGATTTGTTGCCCTAGGATGCATGATGCAAACATTGTTGGATACCATTAACAGTAGGTCTTATCAGCTGCAAGCAGCAGCACCTGCCTTTAATTCAAAATCCATGCGCCTGGAGCAATTGGTGTATTTTAAATATGTTTAAATGAATAATAAACTTTGACTTGTGACAAGTAGAATGAATAAGTAGAATTATCTGTCTGATGGATGTAAGTGGTATCTGGAATCAGCTGAAGAATATAGTCTCGTATAATCAAAGTGAAATACTGTAGATGTTTTTGGAAAGCTTGGTTACTAGCTCAAAGAAGCTCAGGGCTAAGATCCAGGCCAGTAAGTACTAAGTATTGTAGTGCTTTGTGTTGTGCGTACATTGACTGCCATGCTTAACTAAGTATATTACTTTTGTGGGCTGTTTTTGAGTCTAGAGAGCCAGATCCTAATAAAATCCTTGAGAATAGATCCCTGAGCACCATTTTCAAATTATCTTTTGCTGGGGGTCTTTTTGGGAGTGCCTGGGGATGCAGGGTAGTGAACAGGAGCCTGGTTCCTTGCACATGATTAAAGTGTCAGAAGAGAGGATCTCAAGGGCTGCAAAGAGGATGTGGGAGAACAAGATCCTGTTCTTTTTGGACTTCTGACCTAGCACATAGGCAGGCTGCAAAATGTGTAGTCTGGCCAAGCTCAAAATAAAGTATTTGGGTCAGACTTTTCCTCCAGGGATGTTCAGTGCTCAGAATGTTTGTTAGAGAAGATTGAGAGAAGGCAAATAATCCTGTACTGCGCTCTGCTGCAGACTTCACCTATGCTTGAATAACAGCTTTCTTCTTGGGACAGACTCATTCTATTTGATGTCTCTCTTCTTTGTATAGAGCCATATCTCTCCACTATGAACTATAGAAAGAAAAGGAGTACTTGTGGCACCATAGAGACTAACAAATGTATTTGAGCATAAGCTTTCGTGAGCTACAGCTCACTTCATGAGATACATGCAGTGGAAAATACAGTGGGGAGATTTTATATACACAGAACATGAAACAATGGATGTTACCATACACACTGTGATGAGAGTGATCAGGTAAGGTGAGCTACTACCAGCAGGAGAGAAAAAAAAACCTTTTATAGTGATAATCAAGGTGGGCCATTTCCAGCAGTTGACAAGAACGTCTGAGGAACGGTGGGGGGGGGAGGAAATAAACATGGGGAAATAGTTTTACTTTGTGTAATGACACATCCACTCCCAGTCTTTACTGAAGCCTAAGTTAATGGTGTCCAGTTTGCAAATTAGTTCCAATTCAGCAGTCTCTCGTTGGAGTCTGTTTTTGAAGTTTTTTTGTTGAAGAATTGCCACTTTTAGGTCTGTAATGGAGTGACGAGAGAGATTGAAGTGTTCTCCGACTGATTTTTGAATGTTATAATTCCTGACATCTGATTTGTGTCCATTTATTCTTTTACATAGAGACTGTCCAGTTTGGCCAATGTACATGGCAGGGGGGGGCATTGCTGGCACATGATGGCATATATCACGTTGGTAGATGTACAGGTGAATGAGCCTCTGATAGTGTGGCCGATGTGATTAGGCCCTATGATGGTGTCCCCTGAATAGATACGTGGACACAGTTGGCAACGGGCTTTGTTGCAAGGATAGGTTCCTGGGTTAGTGTTTTTTTGTGTGGTGTGTGGTTGCTGGTGAATATTTGTTTCAGGTTGGGGGGCTGTCTGTAAGCAAGGACTGGCCTGTCTCCCAAGATCTGAGAGAGTGATGGGTCATCCTTCAGAATAGGTTTTAGATCCTTGATGATGCGCTGGAGCGGTTTTAGTTGGGACTGAAGGTGATGGCTAGTGGTGTTCTGTTATTTTCTTTGTTGGGTCTGTCTTGTAGTAGGTAACTTCTGGGTATTCTTCTGGCTCTGTCAATCTGTTTCTTCTCTTCAGCAGATGGGTATTGTAGTTGTAAGAACACTTGATAGAGATCTTGTAGGTGTTTGTCTCTGTCTGAGGGGTTGGAGCAAATGCGGTTGTATCGTAGAGCTTGGCTGTAGACAATGGATCGTGTGGTGCGGTCTGGATGAAAGCTGGAGGCATGTAGTTAGGCATAGCGGTCAGTAGGTTTCCAGTATAGGATGGTGTTTATGTGACCATCACTTATTAGCACTGTAGTGTCCAGGAAGTGGATCTCTTGTGTGGACTGGTCCAGGCTGCGGTTGATGGTGGGATGGAAATTGTTGAAATCATGGTGGAATTCCTCAAGGGCTTCTTTTCAATGGGTCCAGATGATGAAGATGTCTTCAATGTAGCGCAAGTAGAGTAGGGGCATTAGGGGACGAGAGCTGAGGAAGCGTTGTTCTAAGTCAGCCATAAAAATGTTGGCATACTGTGGGGCCATGCGAGTACCCATAGCAGTGCCGCTGATTTGAAGGTATGCATTGTCCCCAAATGTGCAATAGTTATGGGTGAGGACAAAGTCACAAAGTTCAGCCACCAGGTTTGCCGAGACATTATCGGAGATACTGTATTCTGACAGCTTGTAGTCCATCTTTGTATGGAATGTTGGTGTAGAGGGCTTCTACATCCATAGTGGCTAGGGTGGTGTTTTCAGGAAGATCACCGATGGATTGTAGTTTCCTCAGGAAGTCAGTGGTGTCTCGAAGATAGCTAGGAGTGCTGGTAGCGTAGGGCCTGAGGAGGGAGTCTACATAGCCAGACAATCCTGCTGTCAGAGTGCCAATGCCTGAGATGATGGGGCGCCCAGGATTTCCAGGTTTATGGATCTTGGGTAGCAGATAGAATACCCCTGGTCTGGGTTCTAGGGGTGTGTCTGTGCGGATTTGTTCTTGTGCTTTTTCAGGGAGTTTCTTGAGCAGATGGTGTAGTTTCTTTTGGTAACCCTCAGTGGGATCAGAGGGTAATGGCTTGTAGAAAGTGGTGTTGGAGAGCTGCCTAGCAGCCTCTTGTTCATATTCTGACATATTCATGATGATGACAGCACCTCCTTTGTCAGCCTTTTTGATTATGATGTCAGAGTTCTTTCTGAGGCTGTGGATGGCGTTGTGTTCTGCACGGCTGAGGTTATGGGGCAAGTGATGCTGCTTTTCCACAATTTCAGCCCATGCACGTCGGCGGAAGCACTCTATGTAGAAGTCCAGTCTGCTGTTTCGACCTTCAGGAGGAGTCCACCCAGAATCCTTCTTTTTGTAGTCTTGGTAAGAAGCTCTCTGTGGGTTAGTATGCTGTTCAGAGGTTTGTTGGACATGCCTGCTGGTAATAGCTCACCTTACCTGATCGCTCTCGTCACAGTGTGTATGGTAACACCCATTGTTTCATGTCCTCTGTGTACATAAAATCTCCCCACTGTATTTTCCACTGCATGTATCCGATGAAGTGAGCTGTAGCTCATGAAAGCTTATGCTCAAATAAATTTGTTAGTCTCTAAGGTGCCACAAGTACTCCTTTTCTTTTTGCGGATACAGACTAATACGGCTGCTACTCTGAAACCTATGAACTGCAGAGTGCTTCTTTATTCTCCACTTCTGGGCTCAGCAGGCCTACAGTTTACATGTGCTGTACAGTGGGTTGCCCAGGGGTATTTTGTGGAAAAGACAGCTATGTTGTTAAAACCGAGATTTCTCCCCTCCAGAATAGTTAAGGATTTTTTTTTTACTGTCTGAAATTGTGATTTTGAAAGGTTTTTGTTGTTGAGTGAAGAGGAGATTGTTCCTGAAGAAGTGTGCGTGAAGGCTGGGCTTATCACGGTGTGCTCTAGACAGGGAGCAATACAGGACTGACTGTTTAGGTCTACTATTGTTGAGCCCCTGCCTCCTCAGCAGATGATAGAGAGGAAAATGAGCCTATCAGTAGTAAACAGTTTGTTTTCCTCTTACCTTGCAGGTTTTCTTTCCTGTGTGTGGCCTTGCCATGTCACTGATACCCATGTAATGATGGGGTTTGCAGTGGCAACATTATAAAACACTACAGTCACAGTTACAGGGCAAGCTGTGCTTTAGACTCCTTTTGAATATAGCTTCTGGAGTACAGCTTCACCCCTCTCAGGTGCCACATGGTCTATACAATTCTTAGACTGAATTTCTGTGCTGGGCAGCCCCCCTCTCCACCTCCCGTTTACCAAATATAGTAACATGACAGGCCCACCTGTGTTTGGCACCTGTTAGCCCTTTTCCTCTGGTTCCAGTGGTGGATGGAAGTAACTCAAAACCAGCTTCTTCAAACAGAATATTATTTATTTACCCAAAGGTGAATGTAGCAAGCAGAAAAAAGGGATAAAACAACAAAAGGCCTGTATGCCTGAGTCAGGCCTAAACTTCATCCTTTCCTTGCCAGTTTTGGGTGAGTTCTACTCACCCCAGATGCCCTGCTCCTGGGGGAGACAGACCCTGCAGCATTCTCTCTTTTTCTCTCTCTCTCTGTCAGAGGCTCATTTCCAGCTGCTGCCCACTCACCTGCCTTCCTCTCTAGTCCAGTGTCTTTACTGGTTTAGTGCCCCTTTTTCCAGGCCAGAGCCTAGGATCAGAATGAACCTTGCCAACCTGGCTTGAGCCAGGTAGGTGGGCATTCCCAATTAGTAGCTCTCCCATTGTTCCCTTAAGGTACCTCATAGCTGTAATTGTTTTGATTCCTGTTTGTTTCCCTGTAACAGCCTCCTTTCATTTAATTCCTTGCGGTCAGGCTGGACAATAGCAAATTGGTAAACAGACATGCCTATGGTAATCATAGAAATAATCCGAATATCTCCCTTATTTTCTATGGCTACAATTTTAAAATCAGAGTTGAATCTGAAAATGCAGGTTCCTTTATAACCGCTGATGTTCACAGATGATTTCCTAAGGGGTTGATCTCCCTCTCCTCAAATGGAGACGGGTACCACAGGATGTGTCTGTTCTGGAAAACATCACTGCTTCACTGTACTTGGTATCGGTATGTTAAACTAAGCTGTTCTTCCTCTTGACAGGTGCACAGTGCCCTTTGCTCAGTCTGTTTTTGGTGCAGTGTAGCCTGGCTCTTCCTCTGACTCTGCACACAGCTGCTCAGCAAGGTAAGAGAAAAATGGATGTAACTGTGATCATTTTGGATTGGGTGGTGTGGGGCAAGGGATAGGATGAGAGCAGTCCTGTTCCTGGGATCTTTGGTTTGGCATGTTGCTGACCACTATGGAAAATGGCCATTTTCTCATTCTAGGAGATGGTGATGAATTCACCTTTCTGTCATTGGGTCATAGTACACTCTGCTCTCCCTTTTCTGTTGCCGTTTGTGAGGTGCCTTAGAGTACAAATAATGTTTTGCAGTTCTTTAGAATGTCTCAACATTAAAAAGCACCCTGGGACAGGGAGTGTCCTTTTGTTCTGTGTTTGTATGGTGTGTAGCACAATGGAGTCCTGGTGTAAGATTGAGATCCTAGATGCCACCATAATACACATCATATCATCTCTGTGAAATAGATAAATGTTTACACAATTTTACATCTGGGTAAACTGAGGAATGGCAAGCAAGTTAATGATAGCATTTTAGACTAGAACCAAGACTCACTGGATAATGCATCCTTCTTGCAAAACATAAAGAAACTATAACATCCTGGAGTGTGATGCAGGTGTCAATAAGTAATCTTTTCTGTCCTGTCCAATATGCACTTGAAAGTCAGAATGCTTTGTGCAGGGTTGTTCGAGGGGACATCGAAAGGCTGCAGTTGGCCTCTCCAGAGTGCACCTATAACTGTGTTTTTAGTGCCAGTTAGCTGTAAATTCAAAAGCAAATCTGGTCCTTATGTAATGATTCACATCCATCCACAGTTGGATAGGAACAATTGCCAACATATTAAGAGAGCTAACACATGCTCCATTGTATGAACTGCACCTGTGTTCCAGCTCTTCCCAGGTGTAGGTGAATCCCGTTCTTTGAAGGCAGAGTACGGTATGTATACAAATATATAATGTTGAACAGAAGCTGGGGAGGAAATGAAGCCAGTTGTGCTCTGCATGCAGAGGGAATGACTGGCTGGCTGGTGTAAAGGCACAGATTAACCCAGGCACAGCACCAAGCACTCAAGAGAGGTTTTTTGGTAGGAGAGGGTTATGCCTCACTGCTAGACTGTTGGAGTCTCTTCCCTTGTTTTTTCTCACTCACCCTCCAAATCTCCTCAATTTCCTTTCTTTCTCCTTCTCTTCTGCTCTCCTCCTCCCTCCTCTGTTGTCTACCCATTATTCAGAAGGTAGCACATAGTGGCTGTTAGGAATATATTGTAGTAGAAGAGGTGGTCTGAGGATTATGAAAGAGTTAATGGGTGGAACAGCAGATTGAGGGGTAATTTTAGGTTGTCTTCCGGGAACAGTAGAGATAAGAGATTATGACTGATATCTCCCCAGCACTCTCTCAGCTGCTTATCAGCATGAAGTTCAGGGCTGTGTGTTTGTGACCTGAAAAGGATGTTCCAGCACAAGGTTTCCAGCCCTGTGGGTCTGCTCCTCTCATGTCGCCTTGTACTGTAGTAATTACTGCAATGACTGAGAAGGGGGTATATTAGAAGGGGAGATGCAGAGTCACACATCTTGGTCTGGTTTGTGTGCAGCCCTTTTTGTGTTTAATGTCCATACCTGTTTCCAAGTTAGGGCTAGTCAATGCTGGAAAATGAAGCCATGTTATAACACGTGCTAGCACACACCACATTAAACACTCTGTGGAGAGGTTAGCCATGACCAGCTCACATGATTTTAAAAGATGACAGTCCTTGTGTACACTAAGTGCTAAGTTGTGCATTACAACCAATATCATTTCCCAGTGTGACAAGCCCTTAGATCTCCCTGCTAGCTTGGAGACTTGCTTAATGAGCTCCCTGGCACGCAGTAGTGACATTAACTGGCCTTGGTGGTGGCTGCTGGCCAAATCTCCCTGTGCTACCATTTTATTGCTTTTCATGCTGGCTAACCATTATTTCAGGAGTTGGTCAGTCTGTGCCTTTACCCAGAGTGTCTCTTAGCACCACAGGTAACAGTATGGGAGAGCTATAGTCTCAGCATCTCTCAGCGGGATGGTGGTTCCTAATCACTGGTACTTAAAATTCTGAGCCCTGGTGTTCTGCCTCAACACACTTCACTCACTTATGCCTTCTGTAAAGTACACTGGCTCTTGGGCTGATTCTGACACCAGTGTTGTGCAGAAGAGGAGGGATGTTATTGCTGGGTACAGGAGAAGGGAGAGCAAGGCCATGGTCAGATGGTACAGTCAATTCCATAGTTGGGTAATGGGTATAGTGGCCAGAAAAGGTTGAATCCTAGCATGAGGTAATGGTGTAAGGAAGGTGTACTGGTTGTGAGGGTAGCTTGGAGGGCTTCCAGCCCCATCCTTCCCGCAGCAGTGCTGTAGTAGTAGGGAGTATAATTCCCTTCTTACTTCTCCCTCTTTTCTGTGTTGCTCTGTCCCCTTCGCTCCCTTTCCATACTCTGCCCTCATTATTGTATCTGAAACATTGTAAAATATTGTATCTGCTGGCACTTAACATTAAAAAGGTTGCAGAGCAGTTTTTAAACTAAGAGACGGGGGAAAGCTGATTGCTGCAGAGGAGCATATGGATCGGACAGAGACTTCTCTTAGAGGAGAGTCTATTGATAGAGAGTCTCTAGGTTTTAGTCAGGAGGAGAGGATGGAAGAGGGTCAAGTATGGGCCAGATCAGATAAGAAACATTCACATAAAGAATCTGACACATCAAAAAAGGGCAGACAAATAAACAGTGACAAGTTTTTAAAGTGCTTGTACACATGCTAGAAGTCTAAATAATAAGATGGGAGAACTAGAGTGCCTCATGTTAAAGAAGGATATTGATATAATAGGCATCACAGAAGCCTGGTGGAGTGAGGACAATCAATGGGACACAATCATTCCGGGGTACAAAATATATCAGAAGGACAGAACAGGTCATGGGGGGTGGAGTGGCACTACATGTGAAAGAAAATGTAGAATCAAATGAAATAAAAATCTTAAATGAATCCACATTTTCCATAGAATCTCTAAGGATAGTAATTCCATGCTCCAATAAGAATATAACAGTAAGGATCTATTATTGACCACCTGACCAGGACAGTGAAATGCTAAGGGAGATTAGAGAGGCTATCAAAATAAAGAACTCAATAATAGTGGGGGATTTCAATTATCCCCATATTGACTGGGTACATGTCACCTCAGGACGAAATGCAGAGACAAAATTTCTCGATACTTTAAATGACTGCTTCTTGGAGCAGCTGGTACAGGAACCCACAGGGGACAGGCAACTCTCGATCTAGTCCTGAGTGGAGCGCAGGATCTGGTCCAAGAGGTAACTATAACAGGACCGCTTGGAAATAGTGACCATAATATAAAAACATTTAACATTTCTGTGGTGGAAAGAACACCTCAACAGACCAACACAAGTGGCATTTAATTTCAGAAAGGGGAACTATGCAAAAATGAGGAGGTTAGTTAAACAGAAATTAAAAGGTACAGTGACTAGAGTGAAATCCCTGCAAGCTGCATGGACGCTTTTCAAAGACACAGTAATAGAGGCTCAACTTAAATGTATACCCCAAATTAAAAAACACAGTAAAAGAACTAAAGAAGAGCCACCCTGGCTTAACAACCATGTAACGAAGAGAGGGAAGAGCATCTTCGCAAGCAGGCTGGCTAACCTAGTGAGGAGGGCTTTAAACTATGTTCACCAGGGAAAGGGGACCAAAGCAATGAGCTAAGTGGGGACGTGGGATACCGGGAGGAAGCACGAACAGGAGAGCGCGAGAGGGGAGGGCTCCTGCCTCATACTATGAAAGCAGGACAAACAGCAAGTTATCTCAAGTGCCTGTACACAAATGCAAGAAGCCTGGGAAACAAGCAGGGATAACTGGCAGTCCTGGCACAGTCAAGGAATTATGATGTGATTGGAATAACAGAGACTTGGTGGGATAACTCACATGAGTGGAGTACTGTCATGGATGGATATAAGCTGTTCAGGAAGGACAGGCAGGGGAGAAAAGGTGGGGGAGTTGCATTGTATGTAAGAGAGCAGTATGACTGCTCAGAGCTCCGGTATGAAACTGCAGAAAAACCTGAGAGTCTCTGGATTAAGTTTAGAAGTGTGAGCAACAAGGGTGATGTCGTGGTGGGAGTCTGCTATAGACCACCAACCAGGGGGATGAGGTGGACGAGGCTTTCTTCCGGCAACTAATGGAAGTTACTAGATTGCAGGCCCTGGTTCTCATGGGAGACTTCAGTCACCCTGATATCTGCTGGGAGGGCAATACAGCGGTGCACAGACAATCCAGGAAGTTTTTGGAAAGTGTAGGGGACAATTTCCTGGTGCAAGTGCTGGAGGAACCAACTAGGGGCAGAGCTCTTCTTGACCTGCTGCTCACAAACTGGGAAGAATTAGTAGGGGAAGCAAAAGTGGATGGGAACCTGGGAGGCAGCGACCATGAGATGGTTGAGGTCAAGATCCTGACACAAGGAAGAAAGGAGAGCAGCAGAATACAGACCCTGTACTTCAGAAAAGCAGACTTTGACAACCTCAGTGAACTGATGGGCAGGATCCCCTGGGAGAATACCATGGGGGGGAAAGAAGTCCAGGAGAGCTGGTTGTATTTTAAAGAATCCTTATTGAGGTTACAGGGACAAACCATCCCGAAGTGTAGAAAGAATAGTAAATATGGCAGGCGACCAGCTTGGCTTAACAGTGAAATCCTTGCTGATCTTAAACACAAAAAAGAAGCTTAGAAGAAGTGGAAGATTGGACAAATGACCAGGGATGAGTATAAAAATATTGCTCGGGCATGCAGGAGTGAAATCAGGAAGACCAAATCACAGCTGGAGTTGCAGCTAGCAAGAGATGTTAAGAGTAACAAGAAGGGTTTCTTCAGGTATGTTAGCAACAAGAAGAAAGTCAAGGAAAGTGTGGGCCCCTTACTGAATGAGGGAGGCAACCTAGTGACAGAGGATGTGGAAAAAGCTAATGTACTCAATGCTTTTTTTGCCTCTGTCTTGACAAACAAGGTCAGCTCCCAGACTACTGCACTGAGCAG